CTGGAGCATTAGTCAAACCAAAAGACATCACAAAAAACTCAAAATGTCTGTACCAGGTTCTAAAAGCCATTTTCGAAATATCATCTTCCTTCACCCTCAATTGGTGATAAACCGATCGGAGGTCAATCTAGAAAAGTAACTCGCTCCTTGGAGTTGGTCAAACTAATCATCTATCCTTGGGAGAGGATACTTATTCTTAATTGTAACTTTATTCAATTGCCGGTAGTCTATGCATATTCGGAGAGAACCATCTTTCTTTCTAACAAACAAAACTGGAGCACCCCATGGGGATATACTTAGTTGGATGAAACACTTATCCAACAAGTCTTTTAATTGCTCTTTTAAATCCTTAAGTTTTTCTATAACCATTCGATAAGGAGGAATAGAAATAGGTTGCGTATATAGGAGAATATCAATACCAAAGTCTATTTCTATTTCTGGAGGAATTTCAGGTAAATCATCTGGGAACACTTATGGAAACTCATTCACAATGCGGATCGACTCAAGAGTAGGGGTTTCGAAATATACATCCCTCATCCCAACTATATGGTAAATGCAATCCTTAGTAATCATCTTCTAGCTTTAAGAAAAGAAACAAACTGACCCTTAGGCATAAAATTCCCCTCGTTCATTCTAGGATAGGCTCATTTGGAAACTGAAACTTGACTACTGTAACAACCCTCGAAATGAAGTAGGATAAAGTAGAGCCTCACATGGGTTTTATTCATTAATAACTTGTCAAAATAATGAAGAATAGCCTTTTAAGTCAGTTTTAAAGAGTTTGGAAGTCAAACGTCAAGGGACGACCAAGACGTTTGGAAACTAGTATTTTACGTATTGGTGTGTTCTAGTATGTTGTTCATGTTTTTATGTGTTGTTTGGAGTCTAAAATCAGTGGAGGTGACCATAGTGTCTTAATAAATGTTTTTAGGGTCAAAAAGTTTGGATACGACCCCCCGAGGGCCACCCTAAGGGTCCCCGAGGAGGAACCCAACCTTGACCAAGCAAACTGCCAAGGCAGCTTGAAGTTGTGCTTTGAGGGAGCATGTTTGCGTCGTGGACTAGCTCCACCAAGGGCCAAAAGTTTGGTCCGCATTGTGGACATGTCGCAGAATCTACTATCTCGAATTTAATTTCCATAAAACTTGTGGGGACACCTCCGCATCGTGAACTTGTTTCCCGACGAAATTTGCGAAAATAAAACTCAAGTTTGACTTGTTTAAAAGGTCCAACTAAGTGAGGGGTAGTTTGGGTACTTTGGGGAATTATTATAAACGGTTATTCTACCTATTTTAGGGTATTTTAAGTTGGTTAAAACCCCAAAACCTAGAATTAGAACCCATTCTTCAAATTGACCCTTCCCTTTCAAAATAGATTCTCTAAAAAAAAACTCCATTTAAGACCTTGATGAAGCTCAAGCTAGAAGATGGGTTTTCAACTGATATCTTCTTCAATTTCATGGGTCTTCAATAATTAAGGTATGGTGACTCTTGATTCTTGAATAACCTCTCATTCAAGGAGTTCTATCAAAGATTTTCAAAAGTGATTCAAAGACCAAAATTCCCAAGTTTCAATCTAAACATGGGTTCCTTGTCAAATGATTTTCTAAATCATTCTATTGATGAATTAATGTGGAATTAATGTTTTTAAGACAATTTTCAAAGGAATTTTTGAAGAACCCATGATCCCCAAATTCTCAAAATTGGCCTATGATGTGGGTCTTTGTGAATATGATCTCTATTGGTGAAACTATGTTTAGATTAGATTGTATTGATGTTTCCTATGATTATCTATACTTATTCATGTTGAATTGTTGGTATATTGATGAATTGAGAATTATGGCCTTATGGGCAAAGTTATGGGTTGATCCCTTTGTTTATAGAATTGTACTAGATTGTGTTTATGTTATTGGATTACATTGTTGATTCCTTATGGGCAAAGTTTTGGATTTTTAGAAGAATGAATTGAATGAATTAATTTGGGGGTTAAAAAAACTTATATAGGGGTTTTAGGCAAAGGCAAAACAACGTAGTATAGAGATTAAATACTTAGTGAAAGACCCAACTACACCTAAAAATAACTGGCGAGTGTCGACCTTCGTATCTTGACCGACGGACCGTGGCTTGACCGACGGTCAATCTTGCACAACCGTCGACCACATCAAAAACTGGATTTTTGGGGCCCTGACCTACGAAACCTTAACCATGGACCATGGACCTAACCACGGTCCATTGGTCCGGCCGTGGTTCATGATCTTTCTTAAAGTTTTATGTGACCAATCCCCACACCACACCTACGGTTCGTGGTCCTATCCATGGGCCATGGTTGGCCTCTGTTAGATGGTACCTACAACATCCTAAAACTACTATTTTTCCCTTTCTCGAATTCGAGGTGTTACAGCTACCAGATACCCCGCCTCTACTAATAAAAGAGACTCCATCTCAATATCCTCTTAGTGCTAAGTAAAAATCCCAATGGAATTATTCATTAATCATAATCATAATATCATACTTGGAAGGACAAAATTATCTATCAATCCAATCTTAAGTCATATAGAATAGATCCTTAAACATGATTCAAGAAGAGGTGAGAAAATCTTTCAACCCTATGAATCAATATGTGAGAAAACCTTTCGCAATTTCATTGATACTTTAATAAAAAAATGTCCTTACATCATAAACATCAATTTCATAGGATACGCGTAGCTTTCATAAATTCATATTTCATAGTTCATAAGTTTCTTCGTAAGTTCATAGACAAAAGTCATAGATCATGCACGGGTTCATATGAATTCAACTTAAAATAATGTAATTAGTTAAAACCATGCAATATAAGATTAAAAACAAGCAATTGAATCACAATTAAAGATCACCCATGGAAATTTAAGAAACCCTATCTTTAAATTGAGAAATTGAATTGGAGAATTAAAAACCTTGGGGACCGAATGGAAGAATGGGTTCCATTAGTGAATACCCTCATACCTTGGTAATCAAAACCTTGATTCAATGGTGAATTAACGATTCTTAGTTGAAACCCTAGCTTCTTCTTCCTTAGCTTGATAGTGAATTGGGGAGGATGAATGTGGTAGGGATTTGGGGTTTAGGAGAATGAGTTTTGAGTGGGTAGTTTTAGGAGTTACCCTTATATAGGTCTTAGGAATAGAGTCAAAACAACCTAGTTTAGTCATAAAATACATACGAAAAAACCCAAAAGCCCTTAAGAAAATAATTGTTTGACCCAGCCTACGAAACCAACCTACGGACTGTATTGATCTATCATAGACCAATTACTGGAGCCTTAAGATCAACCCACTATTGGCGAGACCTGTCTACGGCCCGTAGAACCTTATACGGTCCGTAGACCCAACCCATAGACCTCAACTTCAACCCCAAAATTTTACTAAGTCTGCAACCTTTCTACGAGACCTTCCTACGACCCGTAGAATATTTGACGGACCATATTGGTCAATCATAGGAAGAGTATTAGGAATTGATTTTCCAAAATTATTTCTCAACTTCCTACGAGATGGGTCTACGACCTGTAGAATTTTCTACGAATTGTAGATTGGTCTTGTAGACCAGGAGGAGTAACCCAAAACATGAAATCTTTCCTTTTTCCAAAATTCGAGGTGTTACATTTCATTCATTATATCTTGTTGTTCCTATGTAATATTTCATGGATATTTTATTTACATGTTCAATCTAAACCACGTGTCCTTAAACTACTTAGCAAATTCAATTACACAATATTTTAGTTATAACTTTATCCACGAAACTATTGGCTTACCTACTAAGGAGAGATAGATTAGTTTCCATATTGATCCTATTACAATTTTGAGTCGTAAAAGTAACTAACAAGACAACTTATGAAAGAAAAACACCCCAAAAAGGAATTTCATGTTGGTTCACAAATCTATTAAATTAGGCCACTTAAATGAATATTTATAGCAAAGATAACAATTTAAAGGAAAAGAACTTTCTTATTATAATAAAATATATTTAAAAAATTACTACATAGAAAATAAGCAATTGTCTCTAAAGAATATCAACACTCATGAAAATTGTGTATTCAAGATATTAAGAGCATAATTCTCTTGTTGTAACTAGAAAGACAAAAACAGTGAATGACAACTTGACTCTTAAACATCCATCAAATATTGACAAATTACATATAATTAATATACTCCCTCAGTTTTAAAACATGATCTAGTTTGACTTGGCATGGATTTAAAAAAATAAAGAAAATTTTTAAATCTTGTGGTCCTAAATTAAAGTTATGTCAAATGTACCAAAATACCCTTTAATATTGTGCCTTAAATATGCCACATGGAGAGCTGAAATTAAAATGTTACTAGTAAAACTAAAAATAAAAAGTAAAAAAAAAACTATTATTTTCCATAGAGAGGTGTCACATAATCTTAGAGATGTTCTTTCAGATACTATCAAAGAGTATAGTAGGATAGATGTGATCCCTTAGTCATTAATTAGATGTTTTATATCCGATCTTTGAGAATGGAGGATTCCTCTAGTCAGAGAACTTACCTCATTCAATGGACACTATGGGACAAACAAATATATATATATATATATATATATATATATATATATATATATATAATAGGACCTAGTGGGATGTATGTAATCCATGTGTCCTAAACCAGAGGTCTCTTATTTGCACCTTGAGAGTTGAGAAACACTCTTATTAGGAGTCTTTCTTTGAACATGTTGATAAAACTAGAAGAGTAAGAATACCAATTGTGTTTCAAGAAGTTTCAAACTTTATTAATACCAACATTTAAGAGATTCAACTCAAATAAAAAGAAGGTGGGGATGGGGAGAGGTGGATATGATAAGATGGGGATGGGGAGAGGTGGATATGATAAGAAGGACAACTAATATACTAATAAACAAAAACACTATTAAAAATCTAAGTTTGAGTGACCACCACAAGAGAAACACTTTTTAGGAGCTATTTCATGCCAGTGATCCTTTGACTATATTCTAAAGCTTCAAGTCCAAGTCCATGTTTTTATCTTCATCTTCTTCAACATTTTCAAAAATTAAGGGCTTGTCTAGATTCTTGATTAAAGGCTTTGTAAAATAAATTGGGCCCAACTTGTTATCTCTGTACACTTGACCCCTTGAAAGCGATTCCTCAATCATTGAACGAAAAATAGCATGACCATTTGCTGTTGAAGCAAATTGAGAGTGACCTTGTTTATTATCTAACTTGAAATCTGTCGTCCTTAACACATGGTAACCTGCAAATTGAATAATATAATGTTGAAGTAGAAAACAAATTATCGATTAAAATTTACAGGATATCATAATCGAACTTGAAATGTGTCTTCCTTAACAGAGAGAATGTAGAAACATATACTATGGTTAGGATCGCTTTCCTTGTAAGGAAGTTTTCCACATAAACTAAGATATCAATGTTTATCTTCCTCATATAAATAATAGGCGATTCACCTTGATTTAGAATGAATTTTCAACCAACAATAGAAGGTAGAAATACCCTAGATAGGATCGCGTTCCCCTCTAAGGAAGTTTTAAAACAGACTAAAAATCCAAAGTTTCTCTTTTCAAGATGGTGATTTTCTAATCGAACCATAATGAATCATCATTGGTCTCAAAAGAGGTAACAAAAAAAATCTGCTTGACAAAATTATAAATTAGTCAAAAAATAAATAATGACTATCAAATTATTACAACAAATAATACTAATATATAAAAAATATATTCAACTACAGTCTTACTATTTTGTTGTATTGCTAGCATATACGCTTCTGTTTTATGAACTTGATCAAAATGATAGAGTAGTGGTAGAATATGAGGAAATATTTTTCCACACACTCGACATGCAATTAAATTAGTATACACCGACATCATATTTCTTTTAACTAAGCTGGTTTTTCTGCAAAAGGTACTTAAGGATAATCACTTATTGGAACAAATGAAAAAGATAAATTCTGTGGAAATGCATTGCACATATGGATGTATTTATATATGTAAATGATAACAGTGTGAACTGATAATGTCAAATTAGTTGTTAAAGAGGAAGATAAAATTAATTGTTAACTTGTCGGTACCGTGAACTGATAATGTCATATTAAATGTTAAAGTGTAAAATAAAATTGAATGTTAGTTTGTTGGTTAAGTAAATAAATTAGAATGCAAAGTTATTCATTTAGTCAGAGATTATCATTTATTATCTGAACGATCATTAGTTGACTAACTTCGACTGAAAAAGTATGATGAATTGTCCCATTGTTATGATCACTTAAGGCAATAGTATCCATGTATAGGTCCCCACAGATTAGAAGTTGGCAAAAATCTGAAAAATAAATTGAGTTTGAAAATATTTCGGAACTTTCCTATAGCGACCTTCGCCATAGCAATAGATTTTTTCGCTATAATGACCGCTATAGAACCCTTTGCAATAGCAAAAGTCAGGAAACCGTAAGTCACATTTTTAAGTAAGATTTTATCCACTTGTCATGACCCAGGGGTACACCCTAGATGTAACATGGGTATAAAACCCCAAAGGACTCCATACAAGCCACTTAGCTCTCATAACATAAGAAATAGAACAATAAGAGTAAAAACAACATTCAAGTCCAAAACATTTTCTAAAGAAAGAAGAAGTCTAAACTTATGTCTCATCATAGCCATCTAATACAATAGAATGAAATTGGGCCTAGCCCATACATCATGTCCAAAATAGAAATACATGAAAAGAAACTAAAACAATGAAAGTCCATCCTCAAAGCATAAGGATACACCCAAGTTCAGAAATATCTCAAGGCAACCTCTAGCCACGAAATTGATGACCCTGACTATCGGACCCTACATTTGGGGATAATGTAGAGAAGAGTATGCGTTAGTACAAAACAATGTAGCAAGTATGATAGCCATGTATAAAACATTTAAAACATGCTAAAAGGGACATTTCATTTCACGACATGCAATTTAACAAGCTAAAACATCATATGAGAGAGTTGGAAAACATAAGTCATAACATCATAGTCAATGCAAGCTAGCATCATCTTTAAAACCTTTGAGCTCATGTACGATACTTCTTGAAGTAACCTTAGTTCATTAATAATCTTGTTGTGGGAATTAGCCTTAACCGACATCGAGACCATGTGAGCTATAACATGATCCCCCGGTGTCTCCCACACCCAAAAGGGTTGTTCTACTTGCCTAAGGTACAACCATGAACTTCTTTCTTAAGTGGATCAACTAGGTAATCATCTTGTGGGGGCACATAGTTTAAGGGATACGAAGATTGCTACTAGAAACCCAGCCTCTACTAACGTGAGGGATTCCATCTCAAGAGATTGCTTCTAGAAACCCGACCTCTACTAACAAGAGAGCTTTTATCTCAATTCAATATCCCCTCGGTGCTAAGCATAAATCCCACATAATAGTTATTAAGTCTTGAATTATCTCATAATCCATGGAAAGGTATCCTAGGAATGCGGGTCAAAATTCGGAACAAAAAACTCCTCAAGTTCTGATAGATCCTTTGGCCAAGAAAATGACTCATGCCATATTTTGAGCTTCTTTTCAAGTGTTGGCTAAAGCTATGATGACTCAAGCCAGTAGAGAGGCGAATGTTCTCTTGAACTAAAATATGGGTACAACGGCGGTAAGGATAAGGGACTTCACTAGGATGAATGCTCCTTGATTCCATGGTTCTAAGGTTGATGATGATCCCTAAGAGTTCATTGATGAGGTTTATAAGATAATCGAAATCATGGGAGTGACTACGGTTGAGAAGGTGGAGTTGGCCACTTATCAACTTAAGGGTGTTACTTAAATATGGTTTGAACAATGGAAAGAAGATAGGGTGGTTGATTTAGGTCCTCTTGATTGGGAGAAGTTTAAAGTTGCTTTACTTGATATGTTCTTTCCCCTTGAGATGAGGGGGGCAAAAGTACTTGAATTCATCAATCTTCGTTAAGGGAATCTGAGTGTGATGAGTATGCTTTGAAGTTCACTCGATTGGCTAGGTATGCTCCAACTATGCTTGCCGATTCTATGGTAAGGATGAGTAAGTTTAATTTTGGTGTGTCCAAAATGGTGGTTAATGAATGTCGTACAACCATGCTCATTAAGGAAATTGATATTTCTCATTTGATGACATATTCCCAACAAATTGAAGAGGAGAATCTTAAGGAAATATCTAGGGAGACAAAGAGGGCAAAAGACCAGTGATGATGAATTTTCACATTCGAGGTCCGACAGACATGGTCATTCTAAATTCCGATAAAGGTTTTCTGGTTAAGATTCCTCCAATGCTCCGGCTCCAAAATTCAACAAAGATAGGGTGCCTAACCCTAAGCCTCAAGGAGGAAATGGTGGTGTATCTTTTTTGTCTACTTGTACTAGGTGTGGAAGGAAGCATGATAGTAAATGTTTAGCCGGTACATATGGTTTCTTTGGTTGTGGTAAGAGTGGTCACACGATAAGGGATTGTATGTCACTTGCTACTAAGGGAAAAGATCGTACAGAAGCTCCACCTAGTGGTTCAACTTCAAGTACTCCAAAGCAAAATAGATTCTATGCACTGTAGACTCGATATGATCAAGAGAGTTGTCACGATGTGGTTACGGTATGTTAAAAGTCTTTCATCTAGATATTTATGCTTTGCTTGATCTCGGTGCTACTTTATCTTTTGTGACGTCATATGTATCTATGATATTTAATATTCCTCTTGATGTGTTGTTAGAAGCTTTTCAATCTCTACTCATATTGGTGAATTTATTATGTCTAAGAGAGTCTATAGAAATTGTCCCATCTCATTAGCCTATAGAGTCACTCATGTTGATCTTGTAGAGCTTGATATGTTAGATTTTGATGTTATTTTAGGTATGGATTGACTCCATTCTTGTTATGCTTATGTTGATTGTAGAACCCAAGTGGTTAAGTTTCAGTTTCCAAATGAGCCCGTTCTAAAGTGGAAAGGGGGAAATTCTATGCCTAAGGGTCAACTTGTTTCTTGTCTTAAATCCAGAAAAATGATTTCTAAGGGTTGCAAATATTTTAGGTTAGGGATATAGATATTGAAACCCCTACTCTTGAGTTGGTCCCTATTGTAAATGAGTTTCCAAAAGTATTTCCCGATGATCTACCCAACATTCCTCCTGAAAGGGAAATAGACTTCCGTATTGACCTCCTCCTAGATATGCAACCTATCCCTATTGCTCCTTACCTTATGGCTCCGGCAAAACATAAGGAATTAAATGAGCAATTGAAAGATTTGTTGAATAAGGGTTTCATACAACTGAGTATATCCCCATGGGGTGCTTCAATTTTGTTTGTTCGTAAGAAAAATAGTTCACTTCACATGTGTATTGATAACCGACAACTGAATAAGGTTATCATTAAAAATAAGTATCCTCTTCCAAGGATTGTTGATTTGTCTGATCAACTCCAAGGTGCTAGTTTCTTCTCTAAGATTGACCTCTGGTCGATTTATTACCAATTGGGGTTGAAAGAGAGTGACATTCCGAAGATGGCTTTCGAACTCGGTATGGTCATTATGAGTTTTGGTTATGTCATTTGGTCTGACTAATGCTGCGGCGGTGTTTATGGATTTGATGAATAAGGTCTTCAAGCAATACCTTGATATGTTTGTGATTGTGTATATTTATGATATGATTTACTCACAGAGTGAGGTGGAGCATTTTGAGCATTTGAGGATTGTGTTGCAAATTCTCAAGGATCGTGAGTTATATTCTTAAGTTCAATAAATGTGAGTTTTGGTTGAGGTTTTCTGCCTTCCTTGGTCGCATTATCTCTGGTCAAGGTATTCACGTCGATCCTAAGAAAATAGAGGCAGCTAAGAATTGGCCTAAACCTTTGTCCGCTTCAGATAGATAGAGTTTTTTTAGGTTTGCACGGTTATTATAGAAGGTCTATGGAAGCATTATCCTCTATGTATTCACCTTTGACAAAATTGACTCAAAAGAAGGTGAAATTCCTATGGTCGGAAGCTTGTGAGAAGAGTTTCCAAGAGTTGAAGGATAGAGTCACTTCGACTCCTATACTGACACTACTGGAAGGATCAGATGGTTTTATTGTTTATTGTGATGCTTCACATGTTGGTCTTGGTTGTGTTTTGATGAAACATGGGAAAATCATTGCTTATGATTCAAGGAAACTCAAGATTCATGAAAAGAACTATCCTACCCATGATTTTGAACTAGCGGTGGTTAATTTTTCCCTAAAGATTTGGAGGACTTTGTATGGTGTCCATGTTGATAGCTTTACCGACCACAAAAGTTTACAATATGTATTCAAGTAAATATTTCTAAATCATCTCCAATGTAGGTGGCTAGAAATTTTGAAGGACTATGACATGAGTGTCCTTTATCACCAGTGCAAAGCCAATTTGGTAGACAATGCCTTAAGTCAGTTGTCAATGAGTAGTGTGGCTAATGTTGAGGATGATAAGAAAGAGTTAGTTCATTATGTTCATAGATTTGACCAATTGGGTGTTTAGTTGGTTGAATCCAATGAAGGAGGTGTAGTTGTTCATAATGGTTGCACATCATCTTTTTGTTGGATATGAAAGCAAAGCTAGGTGCTGATCCGATCTTGGTTGAGTTGAAGGAAGCTACGCTTAAAAAGTCTGTTGAGGCTTTCTCCCAAAGGGGAGATGGTGTTCTTTGATATAAAGGTCATTTGTGTGTTCCCAATGTCCATGACTTGAGAGAGAAAAATTTATCGGAAGACAATAGTTCTCGATTTTCCATTCACATAGGAACCACCAATATGTACTGTGATTTGTAAGAGGTCTATTGGTGGAATGGGATAAAGAAGTAGATTTTCAGAATTTGTGGCTAAGTGCCCTAATTGTCAACAAGTAAAAGTTGAGC